GGTTAGGCATTTTATTTTATTTTATCTCTCTCTCATATAAAATATATATATATATATATATATTTGAGCAAAATCAGATCAAAAAAAATAGTTAAAGAATAAAATGAAAAATTTTTATAATTTTTTTTTTTTTTTTTTTTTTCCTTTTTGTTTATTTTGATTTAATAACAAAATAAATAATCAAACATTTTATAAGAATGATTTAGAATATATATATATATATATATATATATATAGATCCATATAGATAGATAGATATAATAGGAACAGATTTAAATACGGAGACATATACAACATTTTATCTTAAAATAAAAATACATAAACTTATATGTATGTAAACATGTGTGTTCAATTGATTTAAACTTAAACATGAACATATATAAAACCAATTCATGAAAATATATATAAATATATATATGAATATGGTTAATTGTATGCAAATGCCATATTTCATTAAAATTAAATATAAAAATAAAATTACCGTTTTTTTTCTAAAAAAAAATTTTTAATATGAAATTCAGTTATATATGTTTTACATGATACATATTCCTATATTAATCCATTTATATAAATTTATATAAATGCATGTTATATTTTCATTTTGATATGCGTAAAAAAATAATAAAATATTCATAATATATTACATGCATCAACTATATAATTGAAAAGGCCAAAAACAGTGTTTCAAGATTTTTTTATAAAACTTTTTTTTTGACCGTAGCCCAAAATATAATAGTGGAATCAAAAATGTTATCAAAGGAAGTTTAGCAGTAAATAAATATATATATATATATATATATATATATATATATATATATATTTATATATATATATATATATATATATATTATATATATAATGAAATTTTTATATATATATATATATATATATATATATATAAAATATATATATTTATATATATATATATATATAAAATATATATATATTTATATTTTTTATATTTAAATATATTTTAAATATATATATATAATATATTTATATATATATATTTTATATATATATATATATATATATATATATATATATATATTATCGTAAAATATATAAATATATAAATATATTTTATATATTTATTTTATATATTTATTTATTTATTTATATATATATACTTATTTATATATATATTTATATTATATTTATATATATATTTCATATATAAAATATATATATATATTTATATATATATATATATATATATATATATATATATATATATATATATATTTATATTTATTCCTAATATATATATATATATATATATTTTAAATATATATATATATATATATATATATACAAAAATATATATATTATATATATATATATAAAATATATATATAGATATATACATAATATATATATATATATATATAATATATATATATATATATTTTATTTATTTATATATATATATATTATATCAAATTTTATATTTTTATATATATATTTATATAATTTTTTTTAATTATATAAGAATAACATTTTATATAAAATATATTTTTATATATAAATATATTTTTTATATATATATAAATTTAATAACAATATATAATATATTTCCATATTTATATAAATATATATATATATATATATATATATATATAAAAATAGAAATAATACAAATGTCTTTTATTAGTTTTTTTTCTTTTTTTTTTTTTTGAGATTTAAAAATTTTTTAAATAGTACAAAAAATAATGGACACTGAGAAATTTTCAAAAAGAAATATTTTTCAATTGTATTTTATGCCTTTAAAATCACGGTTTGTCAACATAAGCTATGTTTAAAAATAAAAGCAACTCATAAAGAAAAACATTTCATAAAAGGCAGGCACTCAAGTGGAAAATATTGCTTCTTCTCATTGGTATTAAAAAAAAAAATCTCTTGTGGGTGTGTTGGGACCGACGTTGTATTATGAACATAATTCAACGTTACCAAGTTGACATTTTATATACCGTTTCCCAATTTGTCAAATGATATTATATCAGGTCATCGGTAACAAAACCATTTAATCACCTCTGGGGGGGGTGAAAAAAACTCACCCAGTGGTGGACTTAGATTTTGGAAAATTAAGCTCAAATAGATGGGGGCCCCTTCATTATTAAAGGAACAACAGATTCGATGAAAAATGTAGGCTATGAACAGATTCTAGATTCAGTGAACACATACAGAAAAAAATAAAATAGATATACAGCATTGCCCCTTACCATTTTTAAATTTGGCCAATTACAGGTCATAGTATTCGAGCATATTCTTCAGTACTTGTAATAATTTAAAACTCAGGTCTCTTTATTCTATGTAACAATAGAGTTATATGTAGAGATGAAACTCCGAGATTTCTCTTGTAGAAAAAACAGAGTGCCATTGAAATACCGCTCATTTTTGACGTTGAAGGAAAAACTTCGGTGATCATTCTTAAATAGGCGAATTGAACGTGAAAATGGCCGTAAGCCTACTATTTGATAAAGACTATAAATAATATAACAAAAAATAATGATCCTTCGAATTTTTTTTTTTTTTTTTTAAATAGTGGTTCAAATATATACAAGATATGGCCAATCTAGGTTAAGGGTTACAGAGTAAGAGGCGCGGTTTATACAGATATGTGGGGAATATAATGGTTAACCCTAGACTTGAACAGGTTAAGATTTGATTGGGAAAGCATCCTCTTGCGAATCGGTTCCACAAAGCAGTGATCCACGGGAAGAAGCTGCTCGGGTGGAACTTCTCACCAATGGAATACGGAGGTTACATTAACTCAATGAAGACACCATTTTGATTAACTGTTATGTGGGAAGTATTTCCAGCTCTGGTGTTGGTTAGAACCAAAAGAAATGGAAATTAGTAGCACTTTTAGTGCTGTGGACGTATATATATACGTCTTACCGAAATTTATATTATTTTGTTTATATATAAATATATATATATATATATATATATATATATATATATATATATATATACACACATACCTAAAAAAAAATATATATATGTATATATATATACACACACCCTAAACATATATATATATATATATATAATCGAAATAAAAGTATAAAATTTAATATTAAAACAATATGAAATAATAAAAAAAAAACACAACAAATAATGTTTTAATATGTCTTGTAATATTAAATTTTATACTTTTATTTCGATCATTAAATTTTGTACCTACAAAAACATCTTTAAATATATATGTATATATATATACACACACACACCTAAACCTAAGTATATATATATATATATATATATATATAAGTATATGATTGGTGTATACGGAATAAATTCCAATAACCAACAATTACTATTCTTAAAAGAGTGCTCAATACAGAATAGAGCGAATATATTCAACACCATCACTTGATAAGACACCAGAGGTGTTGAAACAAAATGTCTATTTTTGTAGTGATTTTATAACATATTTATGTTATAATTTTTAAATAATTATATATATATATATATATATATATATATATATATAATTATTGTGTATTTAGGCAGCAATCCTTCATTTATGCATGTTTCATTAAAATGATATTTAAAAAAAAGCGTTTCATTAAAATGATTAAAAAAAAAGAAATAATGGAATAAAAAAGAAAAACCAAGACTTAATAATATTAACTACGGCCACAGTCTGCTAAATGTGTTCGGAAAATAAAACATCTCTATAACACTAATAATATACACACAATGAACAGACTCAATTAAATTGAGAAAAAAAATAAAATCGTCGTTAATAATGGCTAAAAGTATCGCCAAAAGCGATCGGAATTATAGAACATTTGGACAATTTCTACACATTCTGTGTCCAAAAAAGAAAACACTTATTCGAATACAAGAAAAAATTAAATAAAAAGCTCAATCGTAGTACCTTGTCTGTCGTTTTTAATGAAACATATATATATATATATATATATATATATATATATACACGTTTTGAAAGCACTGTGAAATTTCAGTCCCTATCGCCTGTGTAATAAACTAAGTAGCGCTTAGTAGTATTGCCAAATCATATAATAGCATACGATACAATAAAATACTATTTATTCTGACATATTTTTTTAATATATTATGTGTTTGAGGCTTTTATTCATCTTAGTCTATACATCCGAGTATCTGATCAAAACCAGTATGGAGACACCCATGAAAATCGTCAATGTTTTTTAGTCATATATTTCCAGTAAACAATTTCTTGTTTTACTCAAAACAGGCAAGCACACCCAGGCAACAATGCAATCGTTAAATATAGCCGACATTTCTTGACGCTGTAAGTAAACTATTAAGTCATAAATTATTTTCGCTGTTATGTAATACTAATAGAAATTTAAAAAAAAACAAAAAAAAAACAAATTCGCTCATATATTAAAGAATTCTACATAACGTAATTTTTAGGGCGGGGCGGTGACAATCTCCAAACCCTCCTCCGTTTCAGAATTAAAAAATAAGATAAATAAATAAACTGTACTTTGTTAGGATTATCTTTAATCGACATATCGCTTGCTATTTTTGCTTGATGCTAATCTCTCTCTTGATCCGAATAATTGCCGCTCAAAATCCTATTCTGTCTCTCTCTCTCTCTCTCTCTCTCTCTTTCTCTCGTTCACTTATGCATACACATGCATATTCGTTCCACTTTTCTCTCTCTCTCTCTCTCTCTCTCTCTCTCTCGAACAGTCAACCACACACACACACACACACAACTTTTTCTTTTGCTCATATGTTCATCATCTCAACGGCCGTTCTGTTCCAACCTTCCTATTCAGATGTGGATGAAAGTCGTTCAAGAACGAAGTAACTGATGCGTGGAATCTCGGTTCAACACACTGGTTTTCACGTGATCTCGCTCTGATCTCTAAAACGCTAAAAGTCACGATAAACGTTGACTCGCTCTTCTTTCACTTGTCAGACCTCTACCGGTCATTTCGGGCGCAGATTTCAATTCACAGCTCTTATCTATATATCACCCATGTCTACACCCCCCACGGCCACATCACGTTAAAATACCGGTTCCCGTACGGACACTGAAGTTAAGCAACGTTGAGCCTGGTCAATACCTAAATGGGCGAGCGCTTGAGAATACCAGATGCTGTAGATTTCAATGTGTGGTTAGTGTGAGGGATAATGGGTCGGAATTGTTAATCGGAGATCCGACTTCCAATTCTTGTTGGGTCCTTTATATTCATTTACGCGTAAATACCTCCAGGAAAGGTATGAATCCACCTCTTCTCCTCCAGCTATGGGTTAATTAGTAAGTCTTGTATCATTAAACCATTATTTTTTTTTTTTAATCCTTACAATCTGAAAATATTTTCTAGCTTTAATTAACCTGCAACGGGTTGATAAACCGTAAAAATGAATCAATCAAAACACACCCAAACACTGAACTAATAAACGGGGGACTCGCTCGACTTTATTCTCTTTCACTTTCACTCCATGTAACCCTTTATATTCTAGTCGCATTATCGCCTTGTTTAGGGTGAAACGATAAAAAAAAACAACTTTTACTTTAATTGGCTCAAGATAAGTGAACTTTAGTATAACAAATATATACTATTTATGAAGCGTAGCTTAAAGACGGAAAGTGCGACACTGAAATCCGAAGCGAAAAGATGCCTTCCAAAAAGCTAAGCAAAGTATTAAGAAACAGGAAAATTTCGTTAGAAACAAAGAAAAGCGTGTTGAACTTTTATATAATATCAGTTGTCCTATATGGCATCGGATGCCGGACAATCTTCTCACAGGTAAAGAAGTGACTCGAGGTAACGGAAATATGGTTCTACAGAAGGATGCTGAGAATGCCATGGACTGAACATGTGAGCAACAATGAAATTTGAGAGAAAAAGAAAAAAAAAAAAGGGACACTGATACTTAGAATCAGAAAAAGACAGTTGAAATTCCTAGAGCAGATAATGAGGAAAAGGGCTTGGAAAATCTGATACTCACAGGATATGTTGAGGGACAGAGGAAATCAGTGCATAAACTGTCTTGTGTTAATGGTTGGCAGGACAGAGATTAAGATAGACTGCAAAAATACAAAATTACTACTAACGGCTACAAATGACAGGAAATTGTAGAGAGCCATGATCACCCACGGCCTGAAAAGATTCGGCACATAGAAGAAAAGGTAGAAATGTCAATGTTAGTCGTTTCCTTATAAGGAAACATTTAGCATTCATTAACTGAGCAGTCAGCATGTCTGTCAGTTGAAAATTATAAAATCTTTCTCTTAAAACAGTTTTTCAAGAAAATAAGTTTCTCGTGTCCAGTAGCTGTTATCGCTCTTTCCAGTACTGATAGATGTTTCCTTCCTAACCTTTTGTTTAAAGTCGTGTGGAATATCAAGATCTTCATTAAATCATTATTTTATCTTCATGTGCTATCCATTTTAGTTGTTGCTGCTGTTGAAGTAGGACATTCTAGGGATATATGTTTAAATAGGGTAGTAGAGCCAAGTTCGAATTCCATTTGACTCCATTAGATACAATTACGTGCTAATACCCTTTATGAGTAAATAGCAGGACAGACCAGGTTCTATAGCCTTGGATGACAACTGGTCTACCGGAGAAAGAAATGGCAACCTATCTGCCTCGTCAGTCATGATCGCCCAAGTGTGTATCACGTATGGCAATAAACTGACTGACTGATACATTATTTAGAGCTAGACTAATATACTAGTTCTGTGTTACTATTATTAAAACGTTTCGGACGCTGTGTTCTATGGCCTTCAGAGAACTTCGAATTGAATCCCTCATTTAATATCACAGGGGTATATTGTTTTCGCTCCGCTGTCCATATCTGAGGATACCTCGTCTTTTTTATTATTTTTTTTTTCTTAGTGCTGCTCAGTTATAGCTAGTCCTGTTTCAGCATAGTCCGTACTACAACACAACCTAGGGATTGAACTCATATTAACTATAACATCAAAATCCATCAGCCAACGTTGTTTTCCTGTAACACATTTTCACAACGTCAAATAATCAACAAGCATCATATTATTTGTTATGCTGCACACGTTGCCTATATACTGCAGCTTGTTGATGCATCATCGCAAATGAATATATATATATATATATATATATATATATATATATATATATATATATATAAAGGAAAGCACGTTTCTCGTTGGGACTACTGCTTTCCTTAAATAGGTACTTCAAACCTTACTTTGTCAGTGGGTTTTTTTTTATTTGATTTAAATATTAAATCTTTTATATTTTTCATGTTGTTTGAAACTAGCGTCTCCAACGGATGAAATGAAAAAATTTGATCCTGTCCCACAAAATACATAATAAACACGAACACCGTTGTGTTTCACTCTGAAGTTCGAACTGAGCTGTTATTTTACACTGACTGTATAAAATTCTTGAATGATAATCTGTTACATATGAATTCTTAATGCTCAAATGTGCCAAACATTTAATTAAGATTTGTGGGTGTGTAGAGAAGGCACGGTGGAGTAATGGATAGCGGCTCGGATTGAGGAATCGGAGAGCCGAGTTCGAGTTCAATTCCAGTTGAATCCATTACACTCACTTACGTGAGAAAGGTATGAATCCTCTTCTTTTTACCCCCATCTACTGCGGGGGAAAAATCTGCCTCGTCAGTCATGTATCGATTGGTTGGGAACATTTCCATAAACATTTCCATAAGGGAGGTCGCGAACACCATTGCTGGAAATCTGTACCCAGGATCCGTGGTCCACGTTGTTGGAAAAACCCAGCCTCAAACCACAATCCCAACATTTATTTTATCTGAGTTTGACTGATATATACGTTAATACAAAATTAAGCACCATGATGTGGTGGAGGAGGCGGATATCTTTTTATCTATTCGTAAGTCTAACCTTGCCAGACAGCTCAGATAAAAAAAAAATAAAAAAATAAAAAAAACTTTGTCACCTGGAGGAGCAAACCTCAGTGACAAAAAAAATGGAACGGGCAGCAGTTATCCACTTGCATAGATCGACAACAGACTGATATATTGGATTAATATTCAGTGTTTCAGAAGAGGATTGGCTACACCACCAGAAAATCTTCCAACATTGAGCAGGACCCCACAAGGAAAGAGTAAGAGGAGAAGGCTTCCAAATACATACTCCAGGGACACTGAGAAATAGACAGAGAGAAGTGACCATTCCTAGATGAATATAACAAGTGCACTTATAGAACAGTGACCTATGCTTCTCATGGGACAAAGATTTTAACTCAAAATACGATTTGAGTAGTTTATGAAGGTGTTCCTATAACCCAGAAAGTTAGTCGCCTAAGCAATCCTCTATGACAAAAAAACAACTAGAGCGAGCAGTAACTCTCCAGTTGCATAGTGTTATATAGGAATAAAGTGTCGTTGCTGACACTTGAGTTTGAACATAGATCGCCAGTGAGCAAAAACAGGCGATCCCATTATTGAATTATGTAAACCACGTGACCATAGAGGAAACGCATATATGGAAGGTAGCGTGACGTCTAATTGTTCACCATTTCTAGTCTATCCTCTATTACTATATGGATCGCTATTCACTATACTATTTCTCTATACGGATTACGACTCGGTGGCTACTATTCGAGCGAGTATTATCGAGCAAGCACTATTAGTGCCAGTGTTATTCGAAGGCGTCTGACACCTGTATTGTTCAACGGCGTTACTATAGTTTTATCTGCGACTAGCAGTAGAGCCCGGCGTTGCCCGGGGATGTAACAGTAATTGATAAATCAAGTATCGACCATCATAAAGACTGAAAAATAAAATTGACAAAGATTATTGTTTAAGACGGACACGCATGTCTTAATTAGTTTTTTTTTTTTTTTTTTTTTTTTTTACGAATTGGTCAAACTCAAACAAAAAACATTGTTTTCAATCGTTATGAGTCTACCAATTGAACAGAATTTTATTATAAACAATTGTCTTGTAAATGGAATTTTAAAATCATTCTCAATGTAAAAAATAAAGAAAAAAGTGTGCAAGACAATAAGAAACACCACTTGCCAAAAAAGTGAAGTTTTGTTGAAATCGGTTGAAAACTGTAGGAAATCCGATCCCATATATAAACGAACACACACACACACACACACACACACACACAAACAACCTGGGTTTTATAATAAGTATAACTCGATATGAATTGTCCCCTTTTCATTCTGGCAACAGTGATGCCTCTTAATCGTGTTTTCAAATTGACTTCGTGGAAAAAACATTTGTGTTTTTCCCATTTTTTGGCGCTGTCAGAACCACCGCAAGGTAATTTTACGTAGTCCTGTGAAGTTTTGTTGAAATCGGTTGAAAAATGTAGGAAATCCGATCCAATATATAACCGAACAGACACACACACACACACAACCTGGGTTTTATAAGTATGATTACAAAGTCTCTACTACAACGAGCAATACGAAAGTGACAAAGCGTATTCGTTGGTATTACAAAAGTGGCAACGAGTGTTCGTTGACATCACAAAACATAGATAGGCAAGCATCAACAGGTCGATACGTTGGTCTGATATGCATTGATTGATGGTGTATGACAAGTGACACAGTCAGGTACAAGAGCATGCATCAGCTAGTACTGGTTAGCTGAATACTGCGGTTGATAGAAGGAATTACGACCACGAGTACTGAATGAAGGAAGCAATTGAAAAACAGCAATCAGAACAGGATTGGCTAAACCATCAGAAGAGCTGCCACCATCATAAGACAGACTTTTAGATACCGACGGGCAAAGAGGATCAGAATGCCGTAAAATGCATGGTCTATGGCCACTAAGAAATAAACAGAGAGAAGTGGCTATTCTTGGAGGAATCTGAAGATTGCATAGAGTCAAGTGCACTTAGAGAACAAAAAAAAATCTGATTTGTTTAGTTCAGGAAGGTACTCCGATGACCCAGAAGCTATCCCCTCTGAGGTTCAACTTCGTAAAACAGGTCAATGGTTAAGGGCCAGACAAAACCTTAGTCACCTAGAGAAGCGAACCTGTGACAAAAAAAAAATCTAGAATGAGCGGCAGCTCTCCAGTTGAATGGATAGGCAAGCATCTGTATATGCTCAATATGTAGTGATCGATAGTGGATGGTAAATGACACATATAACGATAACGACA